ATATATATATATATATATATATATATATATATATATATATATATATATATATATATATATATATATATATATATCATTTGCTTGAAGTCATATGAGTTACTGTTTAATGTCACTGCGAGAGGTAAAACCATTTTTCTTTATCGTAAAGGAGTATTTATTGTGTCGGAGCCAACTCGTCCACTGACGTCAAATTACCAAAACAACTGCCAATCCAAAATGGACGCGCCATTGAACTTTCCGACCCGCCCCTCCTCCATCCTCATGCTGTTTCCGGAGTTTCTTCCTTCCCCACCTATCTTCGTCGCTAGGCCCTACCTAAACCTTTGTTCATCGAACTTCGAACCATCGACTCTAGGAACCCAGAAGGTTAACATTACCTCTGCAGGCAAACGATGGGAAGGAAACTATCAGGAGAAAGCCCCAGGCAATCACGACTATGTAGCACTTGGAATGGGTCTGGGTAAGGATTTGGGATGGGACGCGGGGAAAGGAGGGAGAGCAATCGTGCCCATCACTTGGACGGTCGGGGATTGAACGACGACCTGCATGAAGCGAGACCGTCGCTCTACCGTCTAGCCCAAGAGCAGGAAAACGAGGGATCTCCCATAAAGGTACTGTTTGTTAGAGATAAAGAACTCTACGTGCTTGATTTAACAATACCGCCAAAAACTTGTGCTGTTTTACCATTATATTAACACGTATTGATCATAAACTCATGAAATATATGTGAGGAGGGGAAGCCAGGCACAACATCAAGCCTTCATGTACACAACAAGCCACTCCAGCGTCACACACTAGCAGTATCCCTCTCTGTTCATTCCACAACCCCCAGTGTCTCTGGTTTACGGCAGGGGATCCCACTGAGATCACACACCAAAAAATCCTGCAGCAAAAAAGTCGAAACAGATGTGGCTGTATTATGGGCAATCAACCCAACAGTCTGTTAGTACACGACTGATAAATTAATACCCACACTTATGGAGATAAATGAGTGGTGGTGATGAATGAGATTGGTCAGCATTAATACAAATAATAATAACAATTATTTTTCCGGGGGACAGGCAGCAAGTATATATAAATGTAAGGCTTATATCGAGGTCTCCCCCCCCCCCCCCCACCCGCAAGGTCGAACTACTGACCCTTTCCAGGATGCAACCCCCCAAAAAGCTAACTAACTCTTGGGTACCTATTTACTGCTAGGTGAACAGGGCTTTAGGTGATCGGAAACGTGCTCAACCATTTCTATTCCATCCGGGATTATAGACAGCTAATAAATAAATAAATACATACTTGTTGTTTATTCCTCATGTAGATAAATTTGCATGAGCTAAATTTATATATTTAAATGAGCAATGTTAGTTTACACATTTGATTCAATTACCCAGTCTAGGATATTTAAGTGTCAGTGTCTTTAATGTATTGAAACTTAATCTTAAACCTGGCAATTACACCAATACTGTGCATCAATTCGGCCGAGAACGTGGGAGCAGCACTCCCCCTGGTCCAGTTTCTACTAGATCCATAAACAAAAGTTAACAGCAAGGGAGAATGCAGACTCCAGCATTCAGCTAAGGTCTTGTTTTATATTTATGTTTATTATAATGCTTATTTTTATTTTGGGTAGATTGGATTTTTGCACAGAGTGAGAGAGAGAGAGAGAGAGAGAGGGAGAGAGAGAGAGATTCCATGACACAAACTGTAGAGGAGGGTAGAGGTAAGCAAGACCGTCCGGTTCGCTAATTCCCATCGAAGCGAACAAGAGAGAGAGAGAGAGAGAGAGAGAGAGAGAGAGAGAGAGAGAGAGAGAGAGAGAGAGAGAGAGAGAGAGAGAGAGAGAGAGAGAGAGAGAGAGAGAGAGAGAGAGAGAGAGAGAGATAGTACCATCTTCCCTCTGCCAGAGGTAAGGGGAAGCGATCATTACAGGTAGATGATGTCCCTTTAATGTCCTAACTTGCAGGGGATAAGCTGATAAGGATGGTTATATATGGGCCAATATATCCCGGAGACCTTACAGAAAAGGGGAAGAAGATTGCACAAAAAATATAATAGAAAAATGGTAATCTGTACTTCATCCTGATTCTTAAAGTGAAGAATTTATATGTCAGATTACAGTGCTTTTTGTAGTTAGAATATATTGTATTATCTTCTCAGGAAATTTAAGGTATTGCTTTCCTGTATTTTGGCATTATAATGAAAATCAATGTTATTACTTTATTCTTTTATTCATTTAAGTTGATAAAAGTTCATTTAGTTCTCAACCTAGTTAATTTTATAAGCTGCACTTACAATATTAAAATTAATAAAAAATATATGTTTCCTATATTAAATAAAGTGCAAACAAAATAAAAAATACTGAAAAAAGATACAATGCCACAACCCACATTCTCCTAAAGACAAGTAGAGGCATACTTTGGTCTCATTCACGACGAAATTGCACGCCAGTTGACCATCCCTCCGTGCCATCAACTCCTCAATGGCCTCAACCAATCAGCTTCCTGCACTATCCCTCCCCCCCCCCCGCCCACGGTAGTTCTCTTTATTCAGGCCAGCGGGGGAATCTTATGGGGATTTAAGATGTTTTTTTTATTTAATACTACCCGGAGTACTTGACACTGTTCAGGGATACATATTTATTTTAATCAGACGACGAGTCACAATATCGTGGGTGAAAATATGATGCCCAAACCCCACACCAGAAGATGAAGAGACGATGACGTGTAGGTCCGCCCTGGACCACATATTGCTTGATAATGGTCCACGACGGACCGAAACGTCGTCTTTTCTTCTTCTGGTCTGTTGTTAGGTCATCATATTTATGTTTAAGTTGGTTTTCTTGGATTTTTCTAGCTTGTATTCCATTTTCATGAATTCCAGATTTGATACCTCATCCAGAACCTGAAGCCTGATTATCTCTGAAGTTACTCTTGATCCCTTATCCTGAACCCCAGGTTTTATCCCTTTCTCTGAACCCCAGGTGTTATTTGTCCCCCTCCCCTGAACCCCAGGCTTGAATATCCCTGAACCTAAGGCCTGATCCTCCTCCCTGAACTCTAGATTTGATACCCTTCCCAGAACCCGAATCCTGATCATTTCCTCTAAACACTAATTTACCGAATTAAATGAGTGTTAGAAAAGTGAACCAAAATTTTTTGGTTCAATGCATAAAAAAATTAAATAAAATTACGATTTATGGTCCTTAGTACATGCGAGGTTTATGAAATGGAACTACATATAGCCTGGCAATACTAAAAACGTTGGTTTGATGAAATAAAATGCCATGTAAAGTTCTGATCAATCCTGTTCAGTGTCCAAATGCATTGCTTACAGACAAACAGATACGCTATGAGAAAGAGAGAAATCAAACAAGAATAGGGGAATAAATCACCGATACAACTTTATTCCTATAGAACCCGAGACCCTTGATCCATAGGAAGTGTGTCGCATGGGGTTTTCAAGGATTTGGGCTCTAGGCTGCTCGAAGCAGCAAGAGGCTCAAGAGCAGTTTTTCCCCACTCGTGTGAGCCTCTGCCTCACACACGTGGGGTCCGTGGTTCGAGTCTCAGGTGAATAAAATGTTTATTTCCACAGAAATATTGATGACAATTTATTATTATTATTGTTATTAAAGAATACAAATAATTATTATTGTTATTAAAGAATACAAATAAGTAATATCATCTAAAATAATAATACCAATCGGTTTTAATTTTAAAACCAATATTTTACAATAAATAAGATTACAATTATTATAATTATTTTAGTTGCAAATGTTTTTTTTAATCTTATCCCTTGTGGAGTCAATCTAATACATTACGTCACATATTCCACTACTCAACACTCCGTAAGTATCTTTATAAAGGAATTATTGGCCTTTACAGTTCAAGTTGACTTCACATTTCATGTCTGGTCCTTTGAGACACGATTGATATTTAAACAAATATATTCATTTATTTTGTGTTTAAGGTAAAACTACGAAACTGCCCCAAGAGGTGATGGTGCGCCCTCACAAGTGGTTCTCTACACTTGGTGCACCATCACTGATGATTCTCTACACTTGGTGCACCATCACAGGTGCTTCTCTACACTTGGTGCACCATCACTGGTGGTTCTCTACACTTGGTGCACCATCACTGGTGGTTCTCTACACTTGGTGCACCATCACTGGTGGTTCTCTACACTTGGTGCACCATCACTGGTGGTTCTCTACACTTGGTGCACCATCACTGGTGGTTCTCTACACTTGGTGCACCATCACTGGTGGTTCTCTACACTTGGTGCACCATCACTGGTGGTTCTCTACACTTGGTGCACCATCACTGGTGGTTCTCTACACTTGGTGCACCATCACTGGTGGTTCTCTACACTTGGTGCACCATCACTGGTGGTTCTCTACACTTGGTGCACCATCACTGGTGGTTCTCTACACTTGGTGCACCATCACTGGTGGTTCTCTACACTTGGTGCACCATCACTGGTGGTTCTCTACACTTGGTGCACCATCACTGGTGGTTCTCTACACTTGGTGCACCATCACAAGTGGTTCTCTACACTTGGTGCACCATCACAAGTGGTTCTCTACACTTGGTGCACCTTCACTGGTGGTTCTCTACACTTGGTGCACCATCACAGGTGGTTCTCTACACTTGGTGCACCATCACAGGTGGTTCTCTACACTTGGTGCACCATCACTGGTGGTTCTCTACACTTGGTGCACCATCACTGGTGGTTCTCTACACTTGGTGCACCATCACTGGTGGTTCTCTACACTTGGTGCACCATCACTGGTGGTTCTCTACACTTGGTGCACCATCACTGGTGGTTCTCTACACTTGGTGCACCATCACTGGTGGTTCTCTACACTTGGTGCACCATCACAAGTGGTTCTCTACACTTGGTGCACCATCACAGAACACTTTGTTCTGTGAACACTCAACCCGTAAATCCCAAATGAATTCCGATGCTCGAATCGACTGGTAAGAAATATTTGGCTATCAATCGCCATGGTAATAGCTCGCTGTTTGTCACGCAGCATATTTAAGAGCAAGGTGTATTTTATGTGACGCCTGCGTCCGCCTGTGTGGGAAGTAGCATTCATTCCTTAACTCTCCTTTGTATTTCTTCCCTGCACACACACACACACACACACACACACACACACACACACACACACACACAAACACACACACACTCTTCTCGTGCTAAAAAAAAAAGAGGAGGATTGATTGGGAACAAATCCAGTAAGTATTATCGTCAGCTATAGGAAAGGAAAAGCTCTCAACCTGCTAATATTAGTCAGGCGTCTACTCCTGTGCCCACCGGTGTGAAAAAGAGAGAGAGAGAGAGAGAGAGAGAGAGAGAGAGAGAGAGAGAGAGAGAGAGAGAGAGAGAGAGAGAGAGAGAGAGAGAGAGAGAGAGAGAGAGAGAGAGAGAGAAAAGAAACAGACAGACAGGGATGAGTAATATAAATTAAAACATAGAAGCACACAATACAAGCTACATATAATAAATGATTCCAATAAACACACACACACGTTTCTGAGTGAACACATTAGAATAAAAAATATAATTTCAACATTAGGTATGACATAAATCACGATTGTGAGGACACGAGCTGGAGCCCGACCCTTTAGGCACCTTTAAGTGACTACACAAACAAAACATCCGAACCTCTTCACAAGTGTATACACGCACATACAAACTCACAGACTGAACAATCTAGTATAAAAATTACACAAATTATAAAAACATGTTGATATTTATCATAAACCAATCCTCCAATTGCTGCTAAATCAACAAATCCATGAAATTGTGAGTGCTGCCGCCCGAGCAAAAATTATTCGAGCCCTTCTGTACATTAAATAATTTATCTCACTTTAAGCCATCGAGAATCTCTAAAGATTTTGTAATCAGTTGCAAATAAAGAGAGGAAGGAAGGAATGATTCAATACTGTTGAGGAAGGCAAAACTGGTTTGAGTCAATACTGGTGTGGAAGTCAGTTCCGGTAAGAGGGTCCATACTTAAAAGAAACACAGTAGGGTAAGATTGACAATATTGGTAAGAAAGGAAGTGCTGGCCAGAAAATCAGTACCAATAAGACAGGCAGTACCAGTAAGACAGGCAGTACCAGTAAGACAGACAGTACCAGTAAGACAGACAGTACCAGTAAGACAGACAGTACCAGTAACACAGACAGTACCAGTAACACAGACAGTACCAGTAACACAGACAGTACCAGTAACACAGACAGTACCAGTAAGACAGGCAGTAACAGTAACACAGGCAGTATCAGTAACACAGGCAGTATCAGTAACACAGGCAGTACCAGTAAGACAGGCAGTAACAGTAACACAGGCAGTAACAGTAACACAGGCAGTACCAGTAACACAGGCAGTACCAGTAAGACAGGCAGTAACAGTAACACAGGCAGTATCAGTAACACAGGCAGTACCAGTAACACAGGCAGTACCAGTAAGACAGGCAGTAACAGTAACACAGGCAGTAACAGTAACACAGGCAGTATCAGTAACACAGGCAGTACCAGTAACACAGGCAGTACCAGTAACACAGGCAGTACCAGTAACACAGGCAGTATCAGTAACACAGACAGTACCAGTAACACAGACAGTACCAGTAAGACAGACAGTACCAGTAACACAGGCAGTACCAGTAAGACAGGCAGTAACAGTAACACAGGCAGTACCAGGAACACAGGCAGTACCAATAAGACAGGCAGTACCAGTAACACAGGCAGTACCAATAAGACAGGCAGTACCAATAAGACAGGCAGTACCAATAAGACAGGCAGTACCAATAAGACAGGCAGTACCAGTAACACAGGCAGTACCAATAAGACAGGCAGTACCAGTAACACAGGCAGTACCAGTAAGACAGACAGTACCAGTAACACAGGCAGTACCAGTAACACAGGCAGTACCAGTAACACAGGCAGTACCAGTAACACAGGCAGTACCAATAAGACAGGCAGTACCAGTAACACAGGCAGTACCAGTAACACAGGCAGTACCAATAACACAGGCAGTACCAGTAACACAGGCAGTACCAATAAGACAGGCAGTGCTGTTAAATAAAAAGGCAGAACGGGTTTCAGTCAATACCGGTTGAGGGACACGGCTTAAAACCTATTATCAGCTTCTTGAGGATCAAGGAGGCTGTGACACCAGTTTACTGACCATCCAGCAGGTATACTTTACTCATGAGTTGAAGCCAGGGCTAACAGTCCTGTATACACATAGAAGTGTTGATCTTCACGGTGTTTGATCTTCATTCTCATATGAATTGATCTTCAGTGTTTTGTTTCGGTGGCCATAATATCTTAGGTGCTTTTCCCAAACTTGTGGAGCAAGTCCAATATAGCCACATTTTCCAAAATGGTAAACATTTTTTCTAACTTTTGTAATAATAATCCGATTTCAATTAAACTAAAACCATTTTAAAGCACTTATTCAACTGAATTGCCTAACGAGAATTTTTGTGAAATGAACAATTAATTATGGTATAGACCTGAGACGGTTTTTTTTCCAAGAATTATATTTTTTGGGGTGGGCAATAATAAATCTTTAGTTTACTAAATACAAATTTAGAGCCAGAGTGTCATATAAGCCTTAACTAAAGATATAAAAAATAGGCAGTTAGGTATACAGAAAGGCAAATTACTAATTATTTATGAATAATTTTATAATATTGTAATATCTTTAATAATATTTTGTATAATATCTGTAATATCTAATTTCTATAATATCTATAATATCTAATATCTTTAAAATCTATAATATCGGATTTCCATGTAACCTATAATATCTTTTTCTATAATATGTAATTTCTATAACATCTATATTATCTATTTTTTAATATCTACTTTCTATAATATTTAATATCTATATCTATATTATCTCATTTATTTTCTTATTACTTTTCAGTGACAATTGTAAGAGAAAACTAGAGGTGCGATGGATGACGAAGCTGCTAAAAACATTGGCAGTGCCCTAAATTTGACCAAAAAATTTGAAACTTGGTGGTGGTCCAGGTTTATATAACAGAGATAACTATATCATCTTCCAAAAAACGAAGGCAAATTCAAAATTAAGTTCAACCCAAAGCGGTCAGAAGCCATTGAGAGAGGTGGTGAATATAAGAGAAGATGAAGTCTGGAAAAGGTTAAAGCGTATTAGAGATGATGAAATCTGTTATCATATGGAAAACACCTGCTATACAAATTATACGTCACACAAGAGAGATTGGATGCAATATTTCAGTGAAAGTAGTAGCGATACAATATTATGTAAAGCAACCTCTAAGTTAGCGAGTGGTGAAGCCAGGCATGAAATGTTCCTAAGTCATGCTAGCAGAGTGACATCGGTAACGTGTCCTGCTGCAAAATGTACAGCTTCGTGGCGACGATCATTCTCATCAAACACTTGTAATCCAAACTAATGACAAAGATATTCCTGGTGAGAGCTTATGAAGGTACATTTAATTTTTTTACCATTAGTTTAGAGCAAAAATTAAATACTGTTAGTATATCCTTCATATCTGAGTAGCGATGACCCCGCTTCAAGAAATAAGAATGCATGATAACGTAAAAGCTGCTGGAGAAACATTTTCAGAAGCACTGATAAATGTTGATTTAAAACTTCACGATAAATTTTCTGGTGCTTCTGAACTGCGTTATTCACGGGAGAATACTAAAATGCCTAACATGGTAATATCCTTTTTTTCACTCGATTTAATATTAGTAAGACAAAATTGATTGAAGCAAATAAATCCCAATTTGAATCCAAATTTGATAATTTTGTGATGCAAAATTATATAGTGTAAATTCTTATTCACATATTGATAAAAGTATGGAACATCAATCTTTGTAACTTTTCTGTCTTTTTCAAATTATGCTTTATAAGCTCCATAATGGGTCAAAGAAAACTCCACTACATATGTTCTCATTATTTATACAAAGAGCAAAAACAAAGAACTTATTACTTCCATGAATTGAATTGTCATATCAATCAGCTATGGTGATTCTCTTTAAAACAATTTAGTTTTTTAGATACATATGCTGTCCAGTCTCGTGAAGACAACAATACTCACATTCCTAGTCACTTCCACAAAACAATTTCACCATATTTGCTTTAGATAACCTCGATTTTGAGGATGACTCCTCATTGTCTGGCGTAGTTGGCACACACCACACTGTTATGATTCTTTTTCAGGACTGTTTAGGTGAAGCGTCACCAGGAAAAGGAAATATTTCTGCTGCTAACTTGAAGTTGCTAGCTTACAAACATTCCAACATGTGGCACTTCATGTTACAAACCAATAAACAGCTACAATTTGCATGCATCATTCGAAGTAGCAGAAGACACTGAAAATCTTATTTTTGTTGTTGCCTCGCAAAAAGCAAACAACGAAGAATTTCTCATAACATTGCTTAGATGTGGAAGGTCAGTATAGAAGACGAATGTAACGTTACTTTTAATAGCTTGGCGCTTTCTCCTGATAATTCCCTCCCCTTCCTTGGGGAAGGAATCCCTGCCCTAATCTCCCAAGGTTATGTTCCACTGAAGGTGCAGGATTCCTCCCAGGGATACCATCCCCAGTGACTGATCATGCCACAGTTTGCACTCGGATGAAAACTTTAAAATTAATATAAATACTTAAATCAGCCTGTTATGCTTATCTTTTGTGAAGTAGTCTTTCATGTTGCGGCTGAGATTGTTTTGCTCAATGCTACAGAATTTCCCGATCTGTACCTAATGATCGGCATGTTTCATTTTTCACAGGTCGCTCCTCGTTGTGCAGGAAAGTCCACATGCAGCCGTGGATTGGATTATCCTTTGAAACTGAGATTTTCGGAGTAAAAATTTTTCAGTTTTCTGTCCGGTTCTCACTGTGTCGGTTCACTGCAGGGTATGCTAGTCATCTATGACGCTATAGTCATAGATATTCAAAGCTTTCTGGAGAAAAGAAAAGTCTGTTGACTATCAGCATTTTATATTCAAAAAACTTACTGAACAAAGGGAAACTCTACAAATATATTACGAAATTAGTAGCCAAAAGCTCTTTAGGAATTTTAACCAAAGAGGTGAAACATTGAGGATCAAGATATCAGAGTTCATTAAAATGTGCTTGCGATAAAAAAATCAGAGCTCTTAAGTATTTCAGTGTTTAGTTACATTGCGTTGCTCTTGTTAAAAACGTTAGAACATTTGTCCGAGAAGGAAACTGGGACTTACTTGCGTTTCATGTACTACATTTGGCAAATGTGAAGAGCAATGTGAACATTTATTTTTATTTAACTCTCCTCGTTCTTTTGTAATGTTATATTATTTAACAAAGTGATAGTTTATGCAATTGTTAAATAACTTCATATTGCATTTCCACAATAGTTCTACCAATGTCTAGTATAACCGTAAGACATTAGCTGAAGTAAATAAGGACAAACTTAAAGTTGACCCGAAAAAAAACACCGAAGGTAAATTCAGTTTACAAATATTTTTTGATGGGAATCCCTACGTGGTTTCTGAACTGTAAAGTAAACTATGCACTCCTATAAGAGAGTTCCCCTTTCACTGCATATATATCTCTAAAAGGGTCCAGTGCCGGAGGAAAAGGGACAGTATGGATGGATAAGGTAGTATGGATGAGTGAGGAAATATACGTGAGTGAGGAAATGTCTGTGAGTGTGTATGAGTGAGACAAATCAGGTGAGTGAGACAATATGGGTGAGAAAGATAGCTCGGATGAGGCAGAGCCAGCAAGTGAGACACTAACGATGTTTTCACTATTTTGACCAAAAAAAGAGATAGAGGAATAAAACCAATGATAAACCCGTACCTCCCCTCTGCTATCCAATCAGGAGAGTGACTCCTGTGGGTCATGATGGACCTAACAGAGAAAAATGTCACCACATGTTAATTAGTCGATGATATGGCTAAAAATTGTTGGTGAAGCTCAGGTACGGAACTATATCACAAACACTCACACCGTGAATACTGGAGCTTTATTCACGCAATTATATACTGAGAAATAAATCACTATAGTCACCCTAGAAGTTGGTTTATGGGGGTCAATTTAAATCTCATTTTTTAAGCTGGAATCAGGGTCATTCCTTAACAGATGGGGGGAATGAGGATGTTGAGGGAGAGACGAAGTACAAATGAAGTCCAACGAAAAATATCCGGAACAAAACAAACCTACCTAAACTGCTTCATGCAGGTCGACGTTCAATCCCGAACTGTCAAAGTGGTTGGGCACCATTCCTTTCCCCTCGTCCCATCCCAAATCCTTATCCTAACCCCATCCAAGTGCTGTAAGGTCGTAATAGCTTGGCGCTTCCCCCCCCCCCCCCCCACCTGATAGTTCCCTCCCTCCCTGCTCTAAAAACGTCAACATTACGGTCCTTAAATTCCTACTGAAACCCGACATTCATGACGAATTAGTCGGTCCTGTTAACAATGAGGTGCGAGAACCAGTGGCCAGAAGTTAGCAACAAAATGTTATGCCTATACACCCCCATGACGTGGTCCTACTTGGCCTCTACCTCCTCGAAAGATACAGACCTCTCACTCAAACGCCGGTTTTTTTTAACGGTATAGCCCAATCCGTTAAAAATAAAACGTTTTTGAACAAATAGAAGCATCGGAATATTGACGTTTCTTATGCATTGGCTGGATAATTTATGTCGGATGATTGGGTTCGGACGTTTCTGGTTAAGTAGAAGAGTTGCATGTTTTACGGAGTGTCAAATCGAGAGAACGGACAGGGCATTACACGATCTTTCGTGCGCTTAGAAATAAGAAATGTATGGTATGGCATCCGTTATTATTCATATTCAACAATGTATGGAACATGGAAATACACATATCCCTGAAGGATACGTCACTGGCCAGGGAAGTACACTAGTGCCCTCTGAAGGCATAGTCCACGAATCAGTGTTGAGTACATGTACGCCCTCCAGAAGAATATTCCAAGAGCCAGAAGAATACATGTACACCCTCTAGAGGGATATTCCAAGAGCCAGAGGAGTACATGTACGCCCTCTAGAGGGATATCCCAAGAGCCAGAGGAGTACATGTACGCCCTCTAGAGGGATATCCCAAGAGCCAGAG